CCGCGGTCACGGTTGACGCCGTGAGCCTAAACCTTAAGAAGGGTTTCACTACAAGGCTCGATGCGAATCTTCTGCCACGGCAATAGCTATGACACTCGGGGGGTTCAGGGGATTCTGTTACCACTTCGTCCGACCCCTACATGAATTACATGAACTACATTATTTCGGGAAGGGTGTAGGGTTTAGGGCTGTCACTGTGCCTCGAGCTCCATCGCGAATGCGCGCTCGCGAAGCATTCCCTCGTCTTCCAGGACCTGAGCCATCGAGGTGAACCCTGGGCCGCCCCGCTGGTAGCCCTAACCCTACAGATGTAGGGCTCAGGGTCAAGGAGCCCCCTTTTCTAGGGTGTTTTGTGCTTATCACATGCTTGAGCCCGTGAAGTACTGGCTGGATCGCGCACCAGGAAGGCAGTGAACCTTCAGAAAGTTGCTGATTCTAGGCATTTGGCTCTTATCCGGCGCCCTAAACCCTTCAGAAGGATCTTGATTCTTAGATCCTTAGCCTAAACCCTAGAATCTTGAACCCTCAAGCCCTAAACCGTTAAACCCTAAGCGCCCTAAACCCTTAAACCCTGAAGACCCAACAGGAGTTGGATCTGACCGCACCCAGGGATTCCAGTAAAGCACACGAACGAGGGACCCTCCTACAATCATCCCAAAGAGCTTAATTGCCCAGTATTCCAATCTAAGCGAATTCAAGGTTAACCTTTAGGAATACAACAGGATTATGGTACCCCAAAACGCTTAAAGGGTACAATACCTACACTACTACTAATGAACCCCTTGTGGAGGGATCCCTGAGATGGTACGCCGAAATTCAAGTTGGTCATCGATTTCCCCCGTGGAGGTAGCCGTGGTCTCCCTCTAACCCGGTTCGGTATGTCTGGGTCAAACGCACAAGTCATGTCGATATATAGGCTTTTCCGAACCGATCTACGAAGATCTTGTGACTGGCACCGACGAAACAGCTCGGAGTCCAGGATTTGGAGGTTTGCAGGGAGTTGCGTGGCCAGGTGTTCGGAGGATGATTTTCTTGGAAGGATGTCTGAGAGCGACATACTCGTATCCGTACCCAGAAAACCCTAAGCCCTAAAAAGGGACTCTGATATGAAGGAGCCCATGGTTCCTATCGCGGCTTGTTGTTTGAGCCTCAGTGCAGCTGGGATTGCCGGAAAAAGTTGCTGTGCGTGAGGTGCTATGATGGCTCTGTAGTTTAGCCATGAGGTTTTGGGTTGCGGCTTCGTTTGGGGCAAGCAGGGCATATGGGTGCTACTGGAGAACCTTTTAATTGATGTAGCCCCTTATTAAACCCTTATCAAACCCCAAATCCCTGAACCCTCAGTCCCTTTTGGATCCCTTCAAAGCGGCAAGCCTCCCCAACCTAAAACGGTGATCTTCACGGCTTCGGGAGCCCTAAAGCCTAAACTCCTACAATAAACACGTGATAGTAGTAACACTCACAGTGAAATAACAAGCGAAAGAAAGCCAGAAAGAGAGAAGGGACTAATAAAGAACACACATATAATATATATGTATACATAGCTAGCTAGCTAGCTAGCTAGCTAGCTAGGTAGGTAGGTAGGTAGGTAGGTAGGTAGGCAGGCAGGTCGGTCGGTCGGTAGGTAGCTAGGTAGATAGGTTGGTAGGTCAACAGATAGACCGAAAGATCGCTAGAGAAAGGGGATGCTGGGAAGCCACGCCGAGCGGACCAATTCAGGGAAGGGCGTGGTGGAAGGCTTTGTCCCTGAGAGGGAACACCACATCCTCGAGAGGTCGACTTAGTTTCTGGGTTTAGGGGCTTAGGGTTTGGGGTTCGGGATTTAGTGGCTTAGGGCTTAGCCCTTTGGCGGTCGAGGGTTTAGGGTTTATCGGCACCGGGGCTTGGAGGGGTCTTAGGCTGAGGATTAGACATGTCAAGAGAAGAAGGTTGGCCATGAAAACAGTGCATGAGTTTAGTAGGACTAGGGACGGCACAGATACCACCCAAACCCTAAACCAAATTCAAACCCGAAACGTCGTGCTGAGGCTGTACTGGGAGGCTCTTCTGTCTTGGCACGCCCGCTTTGACCCATCTTACTGAGTCAAACAAGCTTTCAAGTAGTAGGCAGGAAGTCATGTTGTTTTTTTCGGCTTATGGTTGGACTTTCAACCAAATTCCATGCAAACCCAGCAACCTAACGGCTTCAGACACGAAGCTAAACCCCCAAGCTCCGTGTCCTCAAGCCCTAACCCGACTTGCCCAAAAGCCACACATCCTCAAGCCCGAAACCCTAAACCCTAAATACTAAAGTATCACTTGCCCTTGCCGCCCTGGGCACTCGCAGGAAATACTGGAACTCTGTATGAGTCCCCTCCCCAACATGATCTGTGTAAGAAGGCAAAGTCGAATCGGTTGAGGGGTAACAACCAAAATGATGAGATGCTGATCCAGTGAACGACAAGCGACGTTTGAGCTGCTAAAATAAGCCAAGACGTTCGTACGGGCACGGCATGCCAACAGTGCACTACACTGGCGAGCGAACCGAAGCAAAACCTAAACCCTTGATCGTAAGAGCAAAACACTTCACCCAAGATCGTAGCAAAGCCCTTAATCCTAGCAAACCCCTTAATCCTAGCTCGTAAGAGCAGTCCGCAAAACTCCAAACCCTGCACCCCAGACTGGAACCAAGATCGTAAGAGCAACCCCGAAATCGGAAACCCTCAAACCCTGAACCGAAACTCTTTCGTGTTGCAAAGCGGCTTGTAGTTCTGCTCCAGCAGCGCTAGTGTGGACCTGGGAATGCATGAGACCTTGCATTTAATATGAGTATGAGCACGAACACCATTTTGTGGTCATATTCACATGCATATTGATAACAGCATACCATAGTTTGAAAGGAAGAACAACTCTATCTGTCGTAGTCCGAGACTTGCGAAAAGTAACGAGAGGCATCGGAGTCGAGGATTTGTGTTATATTGTAGTATATTATATATGTTATACTTTAATATAATGTTCTATTATGTTAGATTCTGTTATGTTATATTGTATTGAACTGCATCACATTGGCAGAAGCCTTTTGCCGGACAAGTTGTGGATTTCAGGGATTTCTGGCCTTTCGACTCGCCCCATTGCTCATGACCCTTTTGCAACCAATTCCTGAACGTTCAGGGAAGAAGGGATTCAGAATCTCAGGGTTTAGTGGTTTTGGAGTTCCGGGGTTTAGGGAGTGGGCTCAGGCGGGTTTGGGATTCAGGAAGCTTACCGGAGATACAAGCAACAGCACTCAACTCCCGAAGCCTCAGAAGCAGCTGGGACGTATGGGTTGTAACAAGGGTCGTAGCGCGGGTCTTAACAACCAGCGCACATCGAATATTTTTTGGGAGTGTTGGTATAACGTAGAAGCCCTAATAATTAGAATAGGGTGTTGGGGTATGTTCTACTATAACAATAATAAGGAACCCCTAAAATAGTATTGGTAATCATTTGGGCCCCTATATTAAACTATAGCAGCCGTCAAAGTCTGGGAAATTGACAGCTTCCGAAACTGGCGCCGCAAAGTCTTTCGCCGCCGGGAGAAAATGACCCGAATGAGTGCATCCCATTCGTTGAAGTCGACCTGTCAGGGGAAAGACTTTCCCTAAACCCTGAATCCTGAGGCCATAGCTAAGAGCCTCTAAGCCATAATTAAGAGCTCCTAAACCACAATTAAGAGCCCCTAAACCATAATTAAGAGCCCCTAAACCATAATAAAGGGCCCTAAGCCATAGTTAAGAGCCCCTGACCAATAATTAAGAGCCCCTAAGCCATAGTTAAGAGCCCCTAAACCATGCAACCCAAGCCCCGACATCCTGAATATAGAGCCCGTGCAGTAACCCCTGCTTATAGTACCACAGTGAACCCTAAACATTTGCAATCCCCAATCCGAAATGGGCTATTTTTAGCATCAGCTGTGTACTCAGGGTTTAGGGTTAGGGCTGAGGAGTTTCGAAGAGGACGTCGTCGTTGAATCCATGCTTGAATCCGAAGTCTTAAGGCTAAGGAACTGCAGCCTGTGACCTGAAGACCTGAATCCAAGCTTGTCCATCCGAACGTTCCGAGTTTGGGTTTCGTGATTCTGCTGAGGGCTTAGCTGCATTGGACGGATTATGCCCCTACATCCTAAACTCTACACCCCAAAGCCTAAACCGTGGGTGGCTTTGGGAGCTCGGGGACGAACGCTCAGTGTGACGGATTTACGGTTTTGGGTTTGGGAGTCAGTGGTTCTCAGGGCTTCGGAATGTGTGATTCGGATCGTGGCAAGCACGTTTCCGATTTGCAACATCGTGGAGGAGAAACCACCGGTTCGAGTAAATCGGAAAGTCCGAATCCAAGACTACATCTTCACTGTGGCTTTGGAGTGGTCGTCAGTCCTTAATTGCTTCACAGCCCGACATTCAACGATGAAGCGCGCAATTTGAACATCTTGAACCACTTCTGTATCTGCAGGCCCGAAACTCTTAATCCTAAACCAGGACCGACTCGTCAGTGGGAGAAGTCGGATAGCCCTAGCAATCCCACACCCTTCCTCAGGGCTTGGTAGCCGTGGTTCCAGGCGAACGACAGTTGAGTGAATCTCCTTGGATACGAGAGGCTCGAGGTATGTAATAACGGTTTAGGGTTTGGGGTTTAGGGTAAAGTATACCCTAAATTCGCAAATCCCACAAAACCCCAGTTGAAGCAACGAGCCTTACATCCTGAAACCAACTCCCTAAACCAATCAACCCCGTCCCTAAAGTATAGTAGACCCTAGACCTAAACCTGAAGTAAGCTGCGGGATCGAGATTTGAGCTTCAGGACCTGTTCAGGGCTTGATTCGTGCAGAGGTTTTGGGGTTTAGGGCAATCAGGCTTAGGGTAATTAAGATAGTATGGTTTAGGTTTTAGGGTTTAGAGTTATCATCATAAGGAGCCCCCAGGAATCCTGTTGGTAACACGTCTTCAAGCGCATACATTAGGGATCAGGCGTACAAAGCTGGTAATATAGGGGCCTTAATAATTAGAACAAGGCTCTGGGGTGTATTAAACCTATAACTATAATATAAGGAACCGTATAGGTAAGTATTCAGGCCTCTATACTATTTCTGCAACGCGCTTTGCAGGATTCTCCCCTCCCGGCCAAGACCAAAGTCTGAAACACCACAGTCGTACATTCAAACCCTGACTTCTGCTCTCAGCAAAGGCCTACAAACCCTAAACCCTACACCCTCAAATCTAGGCCCTAAATCCCAAGAATCTCCTTAACCCTGGCCCATTTGAACACTGCATCTGCCTGAAGCACCGAGACCAGTCCAGAGCTAACGGCTTTCATGCCATCCTGCAACCTGAACTCCTATAGCCGAATCGCAACCCACGAAGTCACAGTTCAACTGCTAAACCCTACAATCTGAACCCTGAATTCCTGAAGCTTGGTCATAACCCTTAGAACCTCAACTCCTGAACCCCCCGAAGGTCCCTAAAGCCAGGATAAGATGCCGGTGACGGAACGAAGCTCCCTGGCGCCACATCGAAGAGCCGAACAGTGCGTGCGAAGAGCCGCACATTCAGCCTCCAGCCAATGGCTTGCTGGGGCGACCGTAACGCCCCAAAAGCAATCTTCTCAAAGGGAGAAGGGAATCAGGGAACTATATAACGACTCATCATAGGGAAGCCTAGTGTAGATGTTTTGTGGTGGTAAGGGCTTATAAGATTCAGGGCTGCAGCTTTTTGTTTTGACCGTGGCTGAAGGAGTTGTATGTTTTCGCTGCGGTTTGGAAACCCACAAGGCGGAGTGCACAGGGTCTGTGCTGTTTGGGGTTCAGCAGCCAGTTTAGTGTTTGCACTGCTTCGTTGAACGGTAGAGCGAAGTTTGCAGTCCCAACTCCTGGTCTTGGGGTACCCCAAAGAAACTAGGACATTTTGGCATCTGGTGTTCGGATTTTCAAGTTTGCGGTTTATGTCCCTATGCAGCTTAGTAGTCGTGTATCCTAGAGCCGACTCCCCCAAAATCGAAACCCTTTCCCTGTTAAACCCTCCTGGAAATCCAACTGGGTTCAGGGTTTGGAGCTTGAGCAAACACCCTAAACCAATCCAAACTCAAACCTCGACATGCCGAAACCCCACAACCCTCAACCTTCTAATTCTACGCCCAATGTCACCCCACCCCATAGGACTCTATAACACCCTTTAAAACTTCTGAAGCCCAATAGACAGGGCGATATCACGAGCCGAGGTGCGCGAGGCGCGAGAAGCCTGGAAGCGGGGAACCCGGCTTCGATTTCGAATTTACAAGGCTTAAGCGGTATAAGATCATGCGCTTGGAGAATAGGTTTAGGGTTTATATAGGGTTTAGGGATGTATCATCCCGGTTCGGCTTCGTCTCCTTCACGAGGGGAGGGGGAGTTGGTAGGACCGGTGAACGGACCGTACGGGCCCCCAGAGAGCTTGCCTTTTTCACCAGGGTCGGCGAGCAATCGCTCTGCGAACTCTCCTGGGCGAAGGACAAAGGCTAAGAGGGGTTTAGGGTTTAGGGTTTGGACAAACTTCGTTCTTCCGGGATAAGGCTCAGGATGTGAGATGTCTACAGACCCCGGCGCTCAGCAGGCACCATGGCAGGCACTATAACCTGACCCTAAACCATTACAAGTAAGGCCCTTGCAGGAGGGAGGCTTGTTAATCGGGGTCAACATTCTATCATAAACAAAGAGGTGGTTGCGTCATTGGGCCTGCGAGCGGAACCTTGTCTTGACCGTCTACGGGTTATTGGATTAGGGCTTAGGGGGTTTGGGGTTTGGGGCCTAAGGGGTGTGAGGTTTGGCCTAATTTGGAGGTTCAGGGTATAGGCTCTAAGGTATGGGGACTATCGCCGAAGCTACAAAAGCAATTTCCTGAGGCACACATGAACTCAACCCCTAAACTTGCCCTAAACTCTAAAACTCTAAACCCCTGAATCCCCAAAGGCCTAAACCTGTCTAAACCCTAAAACGATAAAGCTGCGTGGAGGCACGGAGCCCTGAGCCGAGTGTCGCTGTAGCATGAGGATGGCGGATCTCCAGGGTGGGCCCTGGCTGATGCGCTGCAGAAGCTTGAAGATGATGGGGGCTGAGATCTTGTACGGCCTCGGCGATTTAGGAAACTTTATAGAACCTACCTTTGTAAGGACCCTTATTATGCCTTCCTTATATGAAGTCCTTCACAAGGTAGCCTATTTGGGTTTTAGTCGGGTTTGTTAAGGGCTCGGGGGGTTTGGGCTTTAGGGACGCTCGAAACCCGAAACCCCAACATCGCGAACAGCCAAAGGCGAAAGTGCTGCAGGTTGGGGTGACCTCCTTGCACCCTGCAAGTTCTGTCGAGCTTACAATGCCTGCTTTCAGGGCTACAAAACCTCCTAAGCTGCCTTAATACTCAGTAATACACCGCAGCCTTAGCAAGCCTACGATTTAGGGTGAAGACTTCGGCATCTCGGGTTCGGGTGTTTATTGGATGTCCCTTTTGTTGTGTTTCGAGCTGCGCTTTCTCAAGGGTTCGGGTCTTCAGTGGCCCAGAGCAAAGCGAGCGAAAGCCGAGGAACGAAAGGGCAGAAGCATCAACGCCTTGCAAATTACGCTTGTTGATGGTTCTGGCCTAGGCTCAGGGTTTATATGTTCGGTCCCTTCTGGTTTAGGAAGGAAAACGGATGAGCGCAAACCAGGTCTACTCGAACTTAGGGCGTTTGGGTGCGTAGGAAGTCGGCGGCAACGGTAACCCTCAACCCTAAACCCCTAAACTTTAAATCCATAAACCCCTCCTAAAGCCTAAATCCCTAAACCCTAAACGAACATTTCAAGCGCCCGAGCCCTTCTAGCCATCAGCATCGGGCCCCTTGTGGCAAGCCAGAAAACCTCTAGGACGTGAGGCCTTCACCAAAAAGGCCGAAATGAATGGAGTCAGGATCGACTAGGGTGTTGGGCAGCTTTCGACTACCAGTCTAATCAGTAGCCCTAGGCCGACACCCAGCATTTTCTCTACTAAGGGGCCTCAACCCTAAGCTGTAACCCCTCAAGTCCTAAACCACGAAGTACTAAGACGGACCTAAACCCCGAACCCTATAACCCTAAACCCTAAACCCTAGACTTAAACCCTAAACTTATATACCCCGCAAAAGCTCTAAAGCCGGCGACCCAGCACTTGCAGTAACCGAGGCCAGGACAGGTTCGACCTTCGGAGATCGTTCTCTTTTCAGAGGTTTTGGGTTTAGGGCTTAGGGTTTATAGGGGTTTAGGGTGTAGGGTTCAGGGTTTAGGGCGTATAGGGTTTAGGGTTGATGGGGTTAAGGTCCTTTGAGGGTTTAGGGTTAAGGGTTTTACGCTTGGGGCTGTAGTTGGGCGTTCAGTGTTTAGGGTGTGAGGCAGGCTCTGGGGCTTAGAGCTTAGGCTGTATGGTTCAGAAGCTTTGAAACATTGTGCGATTAGCATGCGTCTGCAGAAACACCCAGAACAGCCAAATCAAAATCAACAAAAGGCATCACAAAACATTGGCCCTAGGCTACGGTTTGCAAATATCCCAAGTCTCAAAAAATAATCTACACCACCACACCTTAAACCCTACGCTCTTCCAGGCGAAGTCGACTGCATGCCAACACCCGATCAAAACCTCCCCAAGATCTACAGGAAAGGTATCCGAGGTTGTTGGCCAGAGTGGAGAGTTCCAGATCAGAAGGTTGTATAGAGGGCGTTCGGGCGCAGGGAGGGGGGTTGGAGAGGGCTTGTGGGTGTCGTTCAGGAAGGATTGAAACATTTTGCGACTCTGCAATACTGCAAGACGCGGGATGCGGGTTTAATAGTCGATGCAAGTTGCGAGCAGGAAAGGAACGCCTTAGTTTTGGTGACTGGCCGGACCAGCCGTGCAAAGTCATGGCATGTCAACCTGTAGACCGAAGCAAGCACATGTAATTGCCTAAGTGCTGTACCATTTGAAGCTCGGGGTGTCGATTCTCACGGTCCCACCAGGCAAGGCTCGTCCACAGGTCTCGCTGCAAGTTGCTACAGTGACATCAATGACACACTTCCAGCCCATGCCAAAACCTAAGAAGCATGTTTTGTCGGACGGGCAAGATCTCACCTGCGGCCTTGAAGCTCATAGCATGATGCCTTCGCAAATCATGGAACCTCTGCAGCCAGCACGCAGCCGGAAAAGATTTGAAGCACAACTTTGCATGTGTGCCCCCTCGGCTTCGAAGTCTCCGCTCGCTGTACAGAGGGGCAGACATATTCATGAAAAATATGAGTATATATATACATATACATATATATATATACACACACACACACTTGTGCGTGTGTGTGTGTGTGGCATAACGAAACGAAACATCATATCCTTGAACCTAACCTCCTATAAAATCATGAAATACAACATAGGGTGACATAAGATCTTGCAAGATAAGATAGGATAGCACTTAATGAGATTGAGATAAGAAAAGATAGTATCGGGCTTTGTCGTGCCCCATGATAGCACCCTGTGGCCGGATTGGCTGAGCGAAGTTGGAATTTAGTCTGTCCAATGACAACGTCAGCTACCCCGGACCAACAACAAAGTGCAGGGGCATCAGTTGCCCCCTCTGGTTTGTGCTTAGCCCTTTGAAATTCTCAGTTGTCCGTGGAGATGGCTTCGACCATCTGCACAGAATTGGAATCTGTTGGGCCAAGTGTGGTCGAAGGACTGGTTGACTAGGTAAGTCAGGTCAGTTCCTTTGATGAGATGGTCAGTCATTGCTAAGTTTGGACGGTGCTCTTTTAAAAGCAGGAACGGCCCGTTCATACAAGAACCTGTCAATGCAAACCAGCCTTCGCGCAAAAGCGAACAAAGGTTCCGTTGCATTTGCACGGTGTACTGTCTCTCTGCGATGTCTGCCGTTAACAACACTTCAGCAGGCTCTCATCATCTCTGATCCGTGTGACTTACGTGGAAGAATGTGAACGAATCGATCTGCAACAACCGTTGCTAACAAGATTGCAATGCCTGACGGCTTACGGTGTCGTGCTCTCAACGCCGAACACTGCACTTGCGGAGATCGCGTTCGATGCAACGCGAGGCAAGTATGTTTCAGCAGGCAGGACGGTTGAAATGGCACAGCCGGACAATGCCAAGAGCCCCATGTCTGTATACTTTCTCTCTTTCCATTATGTTTTACGGTTTGTAGGGCTTCAACAACAGATGGCACGAGAGGACAGATCTTCGTCTCTTGCGGAATCCAGCTTCAAAGCTGCGGCAGAGTGTGGAAACTTTGGCCGCTCTTGGAGCAGGTCGGGGTCGAAACGGCCTGAACCGTTGTCTCGCAAGAAGCTGTTTATGATTCGAACAAGGTAGGCATAAATCGTACTTATATGTATGAGGGCTAGGCAGGACCAGCACGGCTGAGCGTTGAGAATTCTGCATCAGCTGATGGAGCAGCACCCGTCATCGCCACCAAGCACGTACTTTCGCAACCAGCCGTTCTGGATGGCACACGCGGCCGTCGGCCGGCTACACTCTAGGCTCAAGAGATCTTGTGCCATTTCCAGAGCACCAGACCCAAGCCGACTCCAGTAAGCATTGGACTTCAGGGTGAGGGGGGTCTCTGCCAGAACCTGGTGGTAGTGCAGCTCGTGGGTCCGGGTGAGGGCCACAACCGCTTGCCCATGGCCATCTGGTAGAACACTACCCCCATACTCCACAGGTCGCAAAGCTCGGTGTAGCCACCTCGAAGGACTTCAGGCGCCATGTAACCCGGGGAGCCGCATCGCTGGGTCATCAGCTCTCCTTTCTGAAACTCAGTGGCCATACCGAAGTCTGCAAGCTTCAGCTGCGGACATGGGCCAGCATTCAGCAAGAGAAGGTTCTCCAGCTTGATATCACGATGCACGAACCCCCTCCCATGGAGGTATTTAAGAGCATCGAGAATCTGCCACATGCAGTTTGCAAGAACACGCTTAGGTGGAGCCGTGTACACCTGCACGTTCAAGTAGTCCAAATTTGCCCTGGCCCAACACTTTTTTGACCTCGTAGTCCTCCTCCAGAGCAGTCGTAAGGGTCTCCACGGATGTATCCGGGGATGCAGTCGAAAAGACTTCGGAGTCCTTCCCGATTTTCTCCAGGGAGGCGGTCACACAAATTTGGACCATGGCCTTAAGCTACACAGTCTTCGGCTCGAAAGCGACCCTTGAGCCGATACTCATGTTGGCTTGTGGCTTTCGACTCGCACACTCGCACAACATTCTTGGGTTCAGATAATAACAGTACTGTGCAAAACAAGTTTAGCCAAAACCCTAAACTCTAGGCCGAAGATGTCGAAGAGTCCGGCATGTCATTTGCCCATATTTTCCCTCGCTCCCTTGGGCCCTGATAGCTTTCAGCCGCAACCCTGGGATAAAGTACTCCCTAAGATACCCCTATTTAACCAGTAAAGACCCCTTTACAGGAACCCTAGCTGACAGAACCATTGAAAGCCACCCTGTAAAAGAGCCCTACTACTGAAGCCCCTGGACTGGCGAGGCCGAGATCCGGGCACGCAGACGTCGAAACGTTTTGGGAGTGGAGTACGCAGCGCGTCGCCGACGACGACCTCATGGTGAGGCCATTCGGTCAGTCTCCCTCTCTCTCTCTACGCTCTCTATTCTCTCGTACGAATGTGCGCGTACAGTTATACAGAAATATAGATGTCTCTCGATCGTACTGGTTTTCGCGGTCTCAGCTGTAGCAAACTCAACTTCTCGAAAGTCGGTGACTCACCATGCAGCCTCTGAAACTAAATCCCTAAACCCTATTGTAAGCCCGTGACTTCCAAGTTTGGATATCCCAGCGAAGCAGCGCGATTGCGCGTCTCCTGAGGTTTTGGGTCTTACCTGGCTCTAAGATCTCGGGGATTGCAGCAGTTGAGGGCTTGTGATCTCGATTGTGAAAGGACGTATACGGGGTCGACAGAGGAGGGCCTTCAAATCTACTCAAGTCCTCCTCAACAGAGGCATCAACGAGTTACTACTTTGCTTGGCCCATGTAAGAACCCGATAGTTTTCAAACAAGCCTGCGATCCCAGAACAATGCACCTGAATGAACCAAAACCCCAAAAGCCCTAAACTTGGTGGGGTTGCTTCCAACATCTGGATTCGATTCGAGCGCGATTTTGGCTGCTGGTACTACTACTACTACTACTACTACTACTACTACTACTGCTACTCCTACTCCTGCTCCTGCTGCTACCTCTACCGCTACTGCTACTACGACGACTACGACGACGACTGAAAACTGCTACTATCACCATCTATACTCTACACTCGCTACCACGAACATCTATGAACTACCGCGGGAAGAGTAAGGGCCGGCCTGCACCATACGCTCCTCGAGATCTATGGTGTAGACCTATCAGGCTTGCGGAAAGCCTAGGGGCTTTAGGAGTCTTAGTGGTTGACCCAAGGGGTCCTGTGTACCTGTGTGGCAGAATGTAGGGTTTCTATATTTGGAATTGCTATCATGATTCAAGGAAGTGTGCCCCATAACAATACATAGGACCCTCTGGGTCAGGTTTTAGGAAGTTTAAGGCTAGGGGGGCTTTGGGTTTTTCCAGCTTTGGATCGTGTTATCGGGTTTAGGGCCCCAGGGTTTCGGGGGCTTCGTACCTTGGACTAGGAGAGGTTACTATAGGGAGGAGCTTCGGGGCTGTAAGGCTTTGGGCAGGCTCCAGGCGTAGGGTTTAGGGTTTTAGGGTTTAGGGTTTCGCAGACTTGGCTGGTTTTCGGTTCTATAGGGTTTAAGGCTCATAGGGTTTAGGGTTTAGGGCGTTTAAGGCTGCGGGAAATTATGGCTGCGGGCTTTGTTTTTTGAGGTTTAGGGTTTTGAGTTTCGGGCTTTGTGCTTAGGGGTCGAGGGCAAAGCTGGAACCCGGAACAAGGAAACAATGAAAACTCTTTCAAACAATAGTGGATCTTCAAAACTCTTTCTGGCCAGATATCAATAATCTAACTTCTAACACATCACAACCCCAGGACCGCCTTGCGCGCTTGTGGGAGGAGCTGCACAGTCAGTTCTCCAGTGCCACAGCCGACCTTGTCTGAAGACAACATAGGGTTTAGGATGTAGCCAGCCGCTAGTTCGGAAGCCTCTTATCCGGGTTCTTGATAGTGGTCCAGAATATTGATGAGGACCTGGGACGTCTGCGTTAAGGCCAAGCGCCGAGGATTCAGAATTGAGGGAGTTAGGGCCTATAGAGTTTGGAGTTAGTGTGATAGTGTCGAGGGAGTCTTTACTTTTCCCAGCCTTTGGGTGCAGTGCTTGGGGCCGCCTAGGGGCTTCGGGTTTAGGGTTTAAGGCTGAGTTCAGATTCCGGCTTAGGAAATAAGGGGGCTCTCAGAAATGACTCCTTGGTTGAGGTTCCGAGGTTGAAGGTTCCCAAAATGGCTACAAGAAAGTGACCGTGGCTTTGGAGCCTCGCAGATGTCCCGAAACTTTGCCACCCTGAAAGCTTTGACATCTAAAGCAAGACTGTGAAAGCCCCGAAGACACAAAACCTAAACTCGAAAAATCAACACCCTGGACGCGACAAGCACAAAATGCTAAACGCACAAAAACCCTGAAATTAAGCCTCAATCCTAACAACAGACAAATGCCTCCGAGCTGTTTTTCTGAACCCGAAGGCTTCGGGGTGCTTAGAGTTTATGGTTCAGGGCGCCATGAAACATAATGTAGGGGCCTTAATACTTAGAATAGGGTTCTGGGGTATACTGTTCCATAATTATAATAAGGAGCCCCAAATAGTACAGGTAATTATTCAGGCCCCCTATGTTACTCAGCATAAAATTTCGCGACCCTACATCGCCCGAGCTTCTGCGTGAGTGCGAGCTTTCTGTCTATTGGGACTACCACTCCTCCTGCGATAAGCCTGAAACTGAAATTATGATCCACCTATCCACCTAATTCCAGACTCAGGAGTTAGGCATCTCACAACCGGGAAGGCTTACATCAGGGCTTGAAGTTTGGGATTCGAGGTTGCCGGAACCCTTTAAAACCTCCTTTTTAAAGGTTTTTGCCAATTGCTTTCCTCTTATATGTCCGCAAAAGGCGCAGGTGGTGGGGTTCAGGTAGGGTTTAGGGTGCAGGGTTTGATAGCTGCGGGTTTGGGGGACATAGGATAGGGTTTTCCCGCCTCATAAACAGCGTCGGAAGGCTGGATCTTTGCAGCCTTGACGATCTTCTGCACTATACCTGGGACCAAAAGGAAGACATAGGGATTAGTGATTCGGGTTACGAGATTAGGGTTTAGGTTTTCGGGGTTAAGGTTCAAGGTCAAGGGTTTAGGGCTTGGGCTCTAGAGTCTTTAGTTTTTCGGACGCGCAGTCTCAATAGGCTTGGCCTGGAAGTTCGCCCGACCGAGCCGAAGTCTTTTGCCCTTCTGCGCTATCTGCGGGGTCTAGGGCGTAGGGTGTATATAGGGTTCTCGGATCGGCAGCGCCACACCATGTGGTTCGTTGGCTTGCATTCGAAACCACCGTCCGAAATGGGGTTTCGAGAGGAGGGGAGCCCGAATATACACAGCAACCCTTCAGAGAGTGTTTAGGTTTACGCTTGTGGGACATTCCAGCCGCTGGTTCTGGTTCAGGGTTTAGGGTTTAGTGTGCGGGACTGTTACGGTTTATGGGCATAATTTGCAGGGCTTACTGTTTAGGGGTTTGGATTGGGTTCGGAACCCTGGCGGGCCTTGGTTGTGCAGAATGTGCTGCCCCCGTGCACGAGACAGCGGCAAGCCGGTGGCGGGGTGCACCTGACATTGAGCCGTAAACCGTGAACGGGTTTTAAGGTTTCAGGTGCGGCAGCAAAGGTCTGAATGAGATTTTTGAGCACGCAACGTTTTGGTTTTGAGGATTTAGGTTGTTGGCTTAGGGGCTGAGGGTTTAGAGGGGAAGTGAACAAGGTTTAGGGCTGTTGAGTGTTGGCTTCTGCGTCTTGGGTTTTCTCAGCATGCGTTGGAACTTTGGCCCTCCAAAGCTTAACATCTGCATCCTTGGGGTCCAAAGCCCTTCCCAAACTCTACACCACAAACTCTGCACCCTAAAACAGCCCTAAATCCGAGTTCTCGAATATGACCGGCCCAACACTGTAAATCCTGTGATGTAGGGACATTGATAAGTTGAAAAGGGTTCTGGGATATATACTGTGCTTGTAATTGTACCACGGAACCGCAAAAAATAATTCTCTGGGCCGCTGTAATAGCCTTACAGCCCGACCTAAACCCCAAAGCCCACACACACCCAAAAATGCGCTCTGACCGCCTTGGGTGCTCGAGCCGTCGGCTTCCTCAGGGGAAGGCACCTTCCAGCGCAAGGGTTATTGACCCTTCTTGTGGTTTGGGGTTTTGGGGGGCGAGGGCGTCAACTCGTCAGGGCCGGGCTTGACATGGAGTTTAAGGCTTGGGTTGGTTTCTGTGCTCTTGGCCTTTGGAAGGGTTGCAGAGCTTGGTAACCAAAAGCACCATCTTCACTTACATTCTGGACTTAAGCGGAACTCGATAACTCATGTCGCCAACAAGCCCTCATGCCTGAAAGTTGACTGCGACATCCCTCCGGCTGCGTAACAGAGGGGCCGTGATAATTGAATAGAACAAGCTTTGGGGTAGGTTACAGTGCCGTTATCATAAGGAACTCTAAGGAACAGTCTTGGTACTTATTCAGGCTTTCTATACTAAACGCACGGCGAACCAACGAAAACAACACTTACCCTAGCCCTAAATCCTAAGTCTCAGTCAGTCGAAATCCCCGAAGCCCGGATGAATCGCGACAGAATAGCTTCGATGTTTGTCAGGTTCTCGCCTGTTCAGTAGGGCTTATTTGTGGAGACAGATTTATTTATCGCAGAATGGTGAGGCGGAGGAGGATGCCAAGAGACACAATTATCACCGTTAATCCTGCACAAAAATGTATATAA